CCCTCTATATATAGAGGTCATGACGGAGGATCACCCTTATTCAAGAGATCCCACGACCAAGAGAGATTCACATCCATAGTCAATTAATGATGGAGGTCGAAAGACTATTGTTAAGAGATAGAGGTCATAAGGGCCATAGTGAAAGTTCTTGGGGCTTGTTAAATCTTAATGAACTGTCCCTAAGGCTCACTAATACGGAAGTAATACTATCACTTGATATGAAAGCTAGTACATTTATCAAAAGTTACAAAGATGGTGATATAATCTAATATGTACCATATAATATCATTCATAAATTTTTAAACAAGCAGTTATAATATAAAATAAAATATAGAAAAATAAACTGCAAAAAATAAAATCAGAAAGAACACACAAGATTTTATAGTGGTTCGGTTAAAGTATAACCTATGTCCACTGCTTAGAGTCACCCACTCTGGGTATTGCATTATCACTATAGTTTCTCTCCTTTAGCCCCCACTGCTAGATGGAGAAGCCCTTAAAAACTCTCTCACCAACCCGGTGCGACAGAGGACCATATTCCTTTCACAATTAGAGAACCTTGACTCATTTTCACCCTCCTAGTAAAGAAGAGAATTGGAACTCCTTTTCACCCTACGAGTGAGGCAAAGGTCCTTGAATCACTTTTACCTTCCCCATTACGGCGGAGTAGCTGGGTCCTTTGATACCAAAGAGATCTTCTTCTTCCTTATCTCAAGACAAACCTTGAATCCAATTTTACTAAGATACAAGTTGTCGGAGCAACCATGTGAAATCCCCTCCACACTCCCTTAAACCCCACAAAGATCTTCAAACTCCACCCTTTACTCTCTCCCTTTCAAGGCTATCTCTTCAAGTTTTCTCTAAAAGAATGAAGACTCAATGCATGCCAAAGACTTTTTTATAAAGTCTTTGGAGAAAGCTTAAATAAAGGGCTTCAAAAACCCTAAAAAATCATCTAAAATGTCAAAGATCATACAGTATGATCACAGGATCATCCAGTACGATGTGTAGAATTTAACATGTTAGTATTATATGATCACCAGTTAGTACAACATGATTAGTTCAACCGAAATTTAGTTTGTCTAGGATGAATTATGGGACGACCAAATTTATCTTATTGATCGTATAATATTATCTAGTTCATACAGTACGATCAAAATATCAAAATTAAGCATATTTGATTGACTAATCACTAGATTAAATTAGACAATATTTTAAACATCATACAAGATGTATGTTTGTACAATAAAAATAGAATAATTTTTCAAATTCAAAATTTTGCCTAATTTAGTGGATGACAAGCTTTCTAATTTAATATAACATGTTCTACTCAATCTTTAACTATGAATCTTCATAGAATGATGCATGATGTACCTGAAATATTAGTCAACAAAAAATAAATATTCTCTATAAATACTATGAGAAATAAAGAGGTAATCAATAATATTTATTATCATCAAAATTATAAACTAGGAAGCCCGAGTTGTAACATGTAGTTCGACATTGGGTAGAAGTTTGATGAAAGTCCGTCGACGGACAGAAGTCCGGTGATGGGTGAAAGTTCTGTGATGGATAGAAGTTCGGCCACGGGCTGAAGTTCAATGTCAGGTAAAAGCCCAATGATAGTCCGACGTCAGGCAGAAGTCTAGCAACAAGGGAAAGTTTGATTGTGATCGATAGAGGTCAACAGCCGGGTAAAGAGCTGATGGGGAGACTGTGCTAACAATAGTAGTAAAGCAAGGGGCCACTGATATATGATATGGAAAAGGGACGATGATGGTCGTAGTCAAGTAATACTTTCTTGGAAGTAGTCTTCATCCACACTAATGTGTATAGACATCAGGCATCCTTGACGAAAGGGGTCAAAGCAGTGTTCCCTGTCATTTATCTAGCAACACACCAATACTATTAATTAAGTAAAGGCCTGATGATGACCGAGTTATAACTTTTCTTTGAAGAGGAAGTTATAAGAAGCACATCAATATGCAATAAAGAAGATGTTACTTGAATCCACAATGAATGTTTGATTATTTTGAAGTTGAGAATCCACCAATGATGTATGAATCATCCGAGATTATATGTCAGAGCACTGCTCGATGACATTAACCTATATGAAAGATGTTGAGAGAATCAACTAAGGATATATGACCTATATGAGGTTGTATGTTAGAACACTGCTCGATGATGTTAACATGTATAGAAGAGGTCGAGGGAATTCATCAAAGATATATGATATATCCAAGGTTATATATTAACATATATATAAGAGGTTGAGAGAATCCACCAAGGATGTATGTCATATCCGAGGTTGTATATCAAAGCACTGCTTGATGACATTAACTCATATGGAAGAGGTTGATAGAATCCACTAAGGATGTATGACCTATCTGAGGTTATATATCAGAGCATTGCTCGATGATATTAACATGTATGGAAGAGGTCGAGAGAATCTACCAAGGATGTATGACCTATCTGAAGTTATATGTCAAAGCATTGCTCGATGATGTTATCTTATGTGCAAGAGGCTGAGACAATCCATCAAGGATGTGTGACATATCTAAGAATGTATGTTAGAATATTACTGGATGATGATAACTTGTATATAAGAGGTCGAGAGAATCCACCAAGAATGTATGACCTATCTGAGGTTATATATCAGAGCATTGCTCAATGACTTGTGTAGAAGAGGTCGAATTGAATCCCCCTAGAATCAATTTTTTCTTGATTGGGAGGAGGCGAACGCTGCGTGTATCTTGTATCGAATGTGAAGAATGATCTATCTTAAGACCGTTACTGTCTTTTTGAGGTCGAGATTAAGACTTTTTCCAAGGAGTAGAAGTCTAGTTAAGGACTTAAGATTTGTTGGAAGTATCCTTGCATTCATGGGGAGTTTCCTGAAAATAATTTTCTTAGATATCCTCTTGGATGTTAGAAGTACTGGAGAAATCTTCTTTACCATAGTTGTAGTCAAAGTTGCCCCCCAATCCACTTTTAATTTCTATAAAATTGATATGGCATTAGCTGATGCCAAGACATTGACATGAACAACCTCTTGAGATTGGAGTAAAAATTATCCCCAAGTCGAGAATCATGTTCCTACAGATGGTGCCAAACTATTACATCTTATAGTATTCACGTTGGTAGATAAATATAAAATTTAAGGTCTTAGCTTTGTACAAAGATCCAGCACATAAGACGATACAAGAGAGGGTGTAGCGTTCATAAATACACTAGAGTTTTTATGTGAAAACCTCTAAAAAGGGGGAAAATGATGAGGCCTAGTCCAGTTTGAATGAATCCATTATTATTTGCAGTCGATTATAAATGAGGACCTTCCTTCAGGGAAAGACCTTGGGTTGATGTAGCAAATGTACATCATATTACATGGTGCGAATTGGAAGAATTAGTATTAAAATATTTTTTTAGTTGGCATAACCATAGTCGACGAGCGATAGAGGTTGGATAGATCATAATCTGGTGACGGTGGTCGGAAGGACCGTTGTCTGGCAAAGGAGGTCAGAAGGACTATAGTTAGTGGGAGACGGTGATCAGAAAGACTGTTGTCTGGCGAGGGAGGTCCAAAGGACCGTAGTTGGCAGGAGATAGTGGTTAGAAAAATTATAGTAATAAGGCGGTGGTCCGACAAAAGTCTAGGTGTTATTTGGTGATCTGATGGAACTCCGATTTCTATCGGTGGTCCGACGAAAGTTCGGGCCTCAATCGGTGGTCCAACTGTAGTTTGGCAGAACTCTAGAGTCAAGCGGTGGTCCGGTGGAACTTCAGCATCAGGCAGCGTCGAGTGGTGGTCCAACGAAAGTCTGGTGTCGGTTAGTGGTCCTAATGGAAGTCTAGCATTAGATAGTGGTCCAGTAGAAGTCCGGCATCAGGCAATGGTCCTGACAGAAGTTCGCCGCCATGCGGTGGTCCGGCGGAACTCCTACATCAGGTGGTGGTCGGGCTGAACTCCAGCGTTGGGTAGTAGTCTGGTAGAACTTTGATGTCGGGTGGTGGTTCGGCAGAACTCCAGCGTTCGGCGGTCGTCCGGTGGAAGTTCGGGAGGTGGTCAAGGAAGAGCGAGGAGGTAAGAGCAATCTTCCATCTCCCTCTTGATTCCATACTTGGTGGGTTCCCCTTTCATGAGAAACGGGGCTCTATTTATAATTTTTTTAGGGTGGCATTGCTTGTAAATAGATGGAAGATCAGGGGTAAGTTGGAGTGTTTTGGATGGACAACCGATGTTGATTCCCTTAATCATAGATCGTATACTGGATCTTTGAATGTTTTGGTGGTTTCAAAATTCAGTGATCTTGGGCTCGTTAGATTTGTCTCATAGAAACGCTCGATTCGACTATAAGCATGTCACATTTGGAAATCGTTTGTTAATCCAAATTGTGGTTTGAACATTCCAACAGTGCTTCGAGTCCTTGATTTGAACTCATTTGGGCTCAGATTGAGTCGATTTTGGTGTCATTGGGTTTTGTAATTCTGAGACGCTCAGTTTGATCATAAGTTTGGTGAAATCATATATATATATATATATAAGACTTCGTTTGAGACAACTTTATTACTGCTTTCTAAAATAGTTTTTTAGTAAAAAATTTATAATTTAAAAATTTTTTGTAGATGAAAATTGCTTAAGAAAGCAGTAAGAAAGCCATCCCAAACTAAACCTAAATTAACTCTCTGTCTCTCTCTCTCTCTCTCTATATATATATATATAAAGAAAGAACAAGAAATTAATAATCACCAATTAGACCATTGTTAGAACAGTTAAATACAAATACTGAAAACAAATAAATATGTTTGCAATCCTATCATATCTCTACACGTGTACATCTTCTTTATGTATTAGTCTATATATAGGCATCAACCTGTAACGCCAAGAGTTATATGGAAATAATACATTTGTCTTTCTTTACTGTTCTCTTCTCATCTCATCTTCTTACTGTACTTGAGTTTCTTCATGGTATCAAGAGGAGTTCGGTTCTAAGGACATCGCTATGGCGACTCAAGCTTCCGCTTCATCCTCGACCGGAGCAACCACAGGCGCCGTTCCTTCGGCACCGGTCATTTCTCCCTCCCTCAAGTTTGTCATTTTCAATCTCAAGTTTCTTGTTCCTCATTCTCTTACTCCGGACAACTTTTCGATTTGGAGCACCCAAATCACCAAGCTGTTTAAGGCAAACGGATTTGCCGAGTTTCTTGATCCTAAGTCGGCTGTAGAAAACGTCGATCCCAATCAAGATCCTCATCTATGGCAAGTCACGGATCAAAATCTCGCCACGGCAATGTGCTCTACGATCTCGCCGGCGGTTCTTCCATATGTGATTCATCTTGAATCAATGCAAGAAATCTGGTCGACGCTCCACACTCGTTTCCAATCATCTAACCGATCTAAGGTCATTCAGCTCAAAAATGAGCTACATAATGTGTCTATGCAAAACATGTCCATGATTCAGTATCTAACTGAGATAAAGAAGATAGTCGATCAAATCTCCTCGGTGGGCTCGACGGTAGATCCGGAAGATGTGATGATCTACATCTTGAATGGCTTACCCCCGTCATACCAGTCGTTCACGACCACCATCCGAACAATGCAAACATCGCTGACACTCGACAATCTATATGCTCTTCTCATCAGTGAGGAGATCCATCTCAAATCAGCGGCTCTGAATTTCCTCCAATGCCAGACAGCCAGTCAGTCCTATATGTGTTTTGGGGTCGTGGCCGGCGCGGTCGCGGAAGATCTGCTAACGACAACGCTCCGGTAACCAAATCCAATCAGAACTCCGGAACCACAAGCCAGATTTGCAAAAAGAAAGGCCATATGGCTGACACGTGCTGGCACATGCTCAACATTAACTATGTACCGCCTCAACAATCATCCAAGAACAATAATGCCCTCATTGCTAACAACGACAGCAACTCAACCGTTGATTGGTACATTGATTCCGGGGTGTCCTCGCACATGACCAAAACGAAGGACAATCTTGCAAACTACAATGCCTATCATGGAAATGGCACAGTAACAATAGGGGACGGAATGTCAGTCCCAATTGCCCACACGGGGACAGGGATCCTTCCAACCCAGGCTAGTAAGCTTCTTCTATCCCGCCTCTTGCATATTCCATCTCTATCCTACAATCTTTTATCTATATCTAATCTTGTCAAAGATAACCCAATCTCTATAACCTTTGATGCAAATGGCTTTGTTTTTAAGGATCGGATGACCAATCAAACCATCCTCAAAGGTCCATGTAGCGACAGACTCTACAAGATTACGACTCAGCAAAAACCGTTGTCTCCCAAGGCTTTGTCAACAGTTAGAAGCTCCTCGTTCGTTTGGCATCTTTGCCTTGGGCATCCCCACTCTCGGGTCCTTCAGCAGATTTCACAAAAACATCCCTCATTGCACATATCTTCTGTTAATTCTACATGTACTTCTTGCATTGCTTGTAAAGGTCACAAACTATCTTTCGATAGAACTACTGCTCCGCTAGAACTGGTTCATTCTGATGTGTGAGGACCTTCTCCTGTTCCTTCACATCAAGTTTTTCAATATTATGTAATATTCGTCGATGATTTCTCTCGGTTTATCTGGCTCTATCCGCCTATGTTTAAATCGGATGTAACCAACATATTCATTCAATTTGTTTCATTCATCGAACGACAGACCGCTCGCAAGCTTAAAGTCATAAGGACCGACGGTGGTGGCAAATTTATAAACCAACGTTTTCAAATTTTCACTAAGAACGCAGGCATTAGCCATCAAACCTCGTGTCCGTACACTCCCGAACAAAACGGGATTGCCGAGTGAAAACATAGGCATATTGTAACAACAACCAGAACTCTTCTTCAAACTGCTAGGTTGCTAATGACTCATTGGCTTGACGCTGCCCTTACCGCAACCTATCTTATAAATCGGCTCCCTTCCTTAACTACGGAGAACAGGTCACCACTTCAAAGAATGTTCAACATCACACCGTCGTATGATCATCTTCACACATTCGGGTTTGAATGCTATCCCTTGTCTCCTCCAGTTCATCTCACCAAACTAATGCCCACCTCGTCGGCATGCATTTTCGTGGGCTACTCTGATAGCGTGAAAGGCTACAAGTGCTTCAATCCGGTAACAAGCAAACCTGTAATTTCGCGGCACGTGCAATTTAATGAAAATGTATTTCCGTATAAGAACAGGGATACACAAGAACCGATGATCAACTACAACACACCACACTCTCTGCTCATTCCCACCTCCACATTTCAGCCCCCCACTCGCATCCTACCAGATCCAACTCAGCCCTCGCATACCAGTTTACTCTCACCAAATTCTGCAACCATGGATACAAGCCTCCATCATGCTCCGCATCCGCTGACTGTTCCTCATATACCGCATCTGATGACTACTAGAATGAAAACTGGTTCTCTAAAACTATTACAACGACTCAATTTGCTGCATCACGAACACATACAGCCCGACCCTACAACGTATATCGAAGCAAGGAAAAAGTTTGAATGGAGAAGGGCTATGGCCGAAGAGTTTTTTGTATTACAAAAGTAGGGCACCTGGACTGGTACCTCCCCCTTCCAATGCATCCATCCTTAGCTCCAAATGGACATATAGGACCAAGTATAACTCGGATGGATCCGTGGCACGATTCAAAGCCTGACTGGTGGCTCAGGGTAATCAACAGGAATACGGAATTAACTATCGCGACACATTTAGTCCGGTAGCGAAACTACCGACCATACGCATCCTGTTCACCATTGCTCTCTTCTACAAATGGCAAATTCATCAACTGGATGTAGCCAACGCCTTCTTGCACGGTGACATAAACGAGACATTTTACATGAGACAGCCCAAAGGATTTGAAGACTCGTCCAATCCAAATCACGTCTGCCATCTACGCAAGGCAATCTACGGGCTACGACAAGCACCTCGCTAATGGTATACTACCTTCACATCCTATCTTCTTCAAGTTGGTTTCAAACAAAGCCAGGCTGACCCATCACTTCTGCTTATGCAACAAGATCACCTACAAATCTATCTACTTGTCTACGTGGACGACATACTAATCACTGGCAACGATATTCAAGCAATGACGACTCTCATAGAATAACTGAAATCAAAATTCACAATGAAAGACCTCGGGGCAGCACATCAATTTCTCAGTATCAAAATTGACTCCACACCAGATACGTATTTTCTATCCCAAACTTTATATGCTCAATCTATTCTTCAAATGACTGAATTACAAAAATGTAATTCGGTCGCTAATCCGTCTATCTCAAAATTGCCAGTAATGGAGTCCGAAGCTCGGCAGTGCTTCGATGCAACGACTTATAGGCAAATCATAGGATCTTTACCGTACTTAACGTTGACTCGTCCAGACATAGTATACGCTGTGAATGTTCTCTCACAACATATGCATGATCCGGCACCTCATCATACAGTAATGTTAAAGAAATTGATGCGGTACATCAAAGGATCATCTGACTTTGGTCTTCCTATCACAAGAACAGATCTGTTACTTCGGACGTTTTCGGATGCCAACTGGGCCTCGGATCTGGTAACCAGAAAATCTACTTCTGGTTTTTGCACTTTTCTTGGTAACACATTGGTCTCATGGACAATTAAGAAGCAAACAACTGTATCCAGATCTTCTACCGAATCTGAATACAGGGCATTGGCATCGGCAACGGTGGACACCATCTGGATCAAGAGAATTCTTGCCAACTTCCGTATTACTCACTCACAACCGGTTGATATATTTTGTGACAATATGTCCACCATTGCACTAACAAACAATCCTGTCTTCCACGCTCGTACGAAGCACATCGAAATCGATCAATGCTTCGTTCGTGATCACATTCAGAACAACAACATTCGACTACTACCTATCAGCACAGTTGATCAACTAGCTGACATTCTTACAAAACCATTAGCTACACCTCGGTTCAAAGTCTTACGATCCAAACTGACTATCGGCACCCGGTCGTCAATTTGCGGGGGAATGTTAGAACAGTTAAATACAAATACTGAAAACAAATAAATATGTTTGCCATCCTATCATATCTCTACACGTGTACATCTTCTTTATGTATTAGTCTATATATAGGCATCAACCTGTAACGCCAAGAGTAATAAGGTAATAATACATTTGTCTTTCTTTAATATTCTCTTCTCATCTCATCTTCTTACTGTACTTGAGTTTCTTCAACCATCAAACTAAAGAGTTGTTATAAAAATGGTTGGCTTGATTATAAGATAAGAGTTATCTGATTGTCCTTTTAACTAAGCTTTATAAATGAGCTGCTTTGATTCAATTGGTCAATGATATCTTCTCCTGACCCAAAAATGGGACATTGGCTCAAATATGTAGTTTATGACACCTTAAAATATATTTTTGAATTAAATTTTAGGTCGATTATGTAGTTCACTTTTGATTGTCAGATAGGGCTTTGGAGCTCTTAAAAATTTCAAGTCATCTCTTAATTCAAGCCATTTTCATGCGGAAAATAGAGGTTTATTTATCATTGTTTAGAGCTACATTTTGATAATTAAAGTCAAAATCTCAAAATGCATCATTGAACGAACTGTATTGATTCCTTTGATCGTAGATTGTTCTTTCAGCATTTAAGTGTCTTATGAACTTAGAATTAAGTAATCAAATGTTCATTGTATTCCTCGAATTGACCCACTTGTTTGACTATAAGCACTCAAAATTTAATATTGTTTAACCTTTTAATTAATTTACGAAGTTTACAACTGCACTTCAGTTGTTTGATTTCAGTTCATTTAAACAAGGATTGAGATATTTTTTGGTATCGTTAGGTTCATCTCATCGATACGTTCAGTTCGACAAAAAATTTATTCGAACCGAAGCTTACATGATCCTAAATTTAATTTTAGAAAATTCAAATTAAATGTTTTATCGAAATTCAAATTTGATCATATGAACTTTCTAATGGTATATTGGGGTTGCTTTGATTCAATAAAAAAAATCAGTTAAGTCACATTTGTTTCATGACTCATATAGTTCAAAGAATGACACAATGACTCAAATATGTAGCCTATTACACCTTATAAGTTATTGAATTAAATTTTCACTTAAGCATTTTGAACTCATACAGACTACATTATTATATTTTTATGATGGTTGGGAGCCAAAGTCCAAACCAATAAACGAAAGAGAGCTGTGTATCTTGTTTAGTTCTTTTTGAGCTCGAGCAAGATTCAAACTCGTTTAGAAAGCTCGAACTCGGCTCCTTAAACAAATTATACACACGAGCTTGTTTGGAAAGTTCAAACTTGAATCTATTATTGAGCTTAATTTCTTATTTTTAATTAAAATTTTCAATATTTTTTAATTTTTATTTTTAATATAGAATTAATTTAAAAGGTTAAATGCGTTATACAATGCTGATTTAAATTAATCTTTAAATATATTTTAAGTTAATTGAGCGGCTAAATTAGCTTTTGAGGCAAGTCAGGCTGAGCCCGAACTCGAGCTTTTTTAATATACGAGCTTGAGAGCTCGAGAGCTCGAGCTCATGCCTCGATAAGCTCAACTTGAGAGATCATAACGAGTCTTTCCTGATGAAAACTAAACTCTATTTTATAATTACTCCATCTCCCTCGTATTCCTCTCCTCCCTAGTTCAAATTAAGAGCAGGCATTCTGTGTCTCTGTGATATGGAAATAATGAAAATTTATCCTCATCTTGCATAAAGACAACTTAAATAAAATTATTCTACTTTTATGATATTT